CTGCACCCACAACGCCCAGCCCATCCCCCCCCCCACCTCCTACTCTCCATGTCTCCTCCTCCTCCTCCTCCTCTTCCTCTTCCTCTTTATCACAACAAAACACCCGATGTGCTCTCTTTCACCGGCCTCAGCCTCATTTGCGTCGGTGATGAGGAAGAAAGGTACTTACGAGCTGGTGAAGAGGCTACTCCATGGCGGTGGCTCATCCGCTAGCAAACACTACCCCCCCCCCNCCCCCACCTCCTCCATCCCTCCCCTCTGCAGTCTGCTTGTCTCCTCCTCCTCTCTATACACATCTGGATGCAGGTTCATCCAAGGATACACAGCATCAGGAGATCATTTGGAAAATATCTAACTGACTACAACGATAGTTTTCACCATCAATTCATGTGTTGACTTATTTTATGATGATTGTATTATTTAATACCTCGGAACATGTTTTCAAAAAAGGCTGAACAACATTCTAAAATCTGGGAATTTTATTAAATAATACGGAGAAATCGTCATATTTCAAAAGCAGCAGACAGACAAACAAGCCTTTTGATAAAAAATAAATAAATAAGGTAATACGAAAATTACTTTTCTGTTCAGCTTCATCATTCTCACTCTTCCCCCCCTCTCTCTTTTAAAAGCCTATACATATTTATCTTTTGTTACTTCAGTCATGTAATCTGAGTCTTTAAATGCGTGACGCATGTTAATGTCATGTATATAAAAAGTATCTATTGAGGGGTGATTTCACTAACACTGCTTTAGGGTGTTTTATTTGATCCATATAACCGCTTTGACTACAGTCAGATATCTGTATATCCTCGATCAATGCACTCCAACACTTAATGCAACAATCTGATGTTTGAGAGACAGGAGAAGTGTCTCTTTGTGTTTCTTCAAATATTTTGATGTTTCAATGCATGGACAACTTAGCAGGACTAAAGACTGTGGCACCTTGGAGTAGAAATGTACATATTTACGCTGGAAACAAACCATCTGTATGGCTATAATATCCCTTTAAACAGTCCTGCACCAGAAGCAGAGCCATCAAGCAGGAACCAAGAAGTGGAAGCACATTAAAGTCAGTCTGCAGGTCCTGAGCACATTACAGGTGCAGCTGTCCATCGCTGTTACTGTTAGTGGATACGGCAAACAGGGTAGAATCTGTTGACTCAGCGGGAAACCTCAGTGAGAAAAACCTCCATCTGCCTCCTGCCATTTTCAATCAACCAGCCTGCGGTCCAGTGTTATTAAGCGCGATTATGCAAAGCAAGATTTATATTACAGGACAGAATGGTTAAGGTGACAACAGGTGGAGAAAGAAAGGAGGAACACACAAATAAAACAAACGAAAACACATTTATGTAAAGCTCTTTTCTCAAATGAAATGTATTACATTATAGTCTTCATCTATCTGTCACTGTAATGGCTGTTTTAAGACAGGAGCTACAATGATTGTAATGTAATTCTGCACCTGGTGCGACAGACGGAGAATCGCACGCCTAACAAAACAGCAACGAGTTGGAAAGTAATGATATCAAGAAGTGTTTTCTCTCATATTTTCCGATTGAATCCCTGATAAATGTCCAATGTGAGCCCAACGGACACTCGCCAACGCACCTCACAGTGAATAACCTAATATATTTTCTTTCCTCATCATTCTTTCTTTCATTTAATGGAGAATTCTGCTGCTTATTTCATAATGTCAACACAATCATATATTGTACAGTCTGATTTATTCCCACGTGCTTAGTGTACAAAGTTCTGCAGTCTATTTGTTTATTCATTTAACTGCTGCTAGTCTGGATGTAATATTTGAAGCACAATCCAGTCAAAGTTTTCCTTCATTGGTTGAATTTAATGTGTTCTCTTTGATCGAAAACCAGTTAGTTTAAGGAGAACCTCTTTGTGAATTCAACCTATTAATATTACTTTGCCAGTGTTCAATTCATATTCATATTCGAGGCGGCTGTGGCTCAGTGGGTAAAGTGCTGGACTTCGAATCAGGGGGTAGCAAGTTCGAGTCCCACTGCAGTCAGCATGTCGTTGTGTCCCTGAGCTGGACACTTCACCCCAAATGGCTCCTGTGGGGATTGCCCACAGTACTGAATGTGTGTAAGTCGCTTTGGATAAAAGTGTCTAACAAGTGAAATGTAATGTAATATTTAAATGTCATTCTGTCCTCATAGCAAGTGTCGGTCAGTCATGTCATCTAATTTCTTATATCTCTATTTCCTCTTCTTTAACAAACCCCCCCACACCTATACTTTACCTTATTTGCTAAACACACAGAAAACATTAACTCATAGGCAACCACATCCTTACCCACAATCCCTTGTTCAAACTTAACAAATCACTGTGTGAATCGAGCCAAGTCAACAACAAGAGGAGTGCGCTCTTTTTACCATGACAACCAGATCTACAACCACTTAAAAAAATTAGAGAGCATAGTTGAAAAAGAGCAGTGTGTGACCAATGTCAGCATTAAACTGCCAAAGCGCCACTTGAGATTTACGACTACAAATCGGCAATTTAGAAACAAAAACAGGCTGTGGTACACTGAAAGAAGTGGATTTGCAGTACCAGCTGTGAGGGAGATGGAGAAGAAATGGAGGAGGAGGTAGGGAGACAGACTTTTAAAAACAAACATCTGCCTCGCAAGCGTCTTATTCAGACAATGAGGAGAGAGGATGGTGGCCCCCGAGGCTGAGGGCCCGTCATCACAAAGGCTCGTGTCAGCAGACGGCAGCTGCTGGTGCGGGTGACGGAGCACCCGGTTTGTTTTGGGGGACAAAGGCGAGCATTGGGCCAGTGTCAACGCATCTAATCCCTGTGCAAGTCAAACCTCAGCAGGCTTCTGCCGTTACTTATTGAGGCGAGGCGCAGACAAAAGGCTGAGGGACGCTCGTCACCCGCTCTGAAACAGCTCTTCTACTCCACCAGGGCTTATCGAAACGCGTGACTCAGGACTCTGGCAATGGACCGACCAATGAAAACACTTCATGGCTTCGAAGTAAACTCTTCATGTAATGTAGAAGAAGGTGATAATGGAAAGAAAAGAGTGAAATGGAGTAGGGATTAAAGAGGATATATTATGAATGTTTTCAGGTCCATATTTGTATTGTGTGTCTCTCCTGTGACATGTCTCCACGCTTTAATGTTCAAAAAGCTCTTTATTGTTCTCATACTGCCTGTGCTGCAGCACCTCTTTTCACCCTCTGTCCGAAACCAGAGCCCAGTATGCTCTGATTGGAGATGTCCCACCCCTTAACACATACAGTGTGTTGGAGCGTAAGCTAATAGGAGCGTGAGTGTTACATAATGATGTCATTATGTTGCCGAAGTAGTACACACTAAAGGAAAGGGAGATAGAATAGGGCTCCTGTAATACTAACTATGAATCAGACCACTAAAATCAAACTGCCACACATTTATTCTAACTAGCTTCTGGCAGCATATATATTATTTTAACTCAGAGGGTCTGGGGGTGTCCTCTCTGAGCATGCAGGGTACGGGCGGATTAAAATACTGCGGTTTAATGAGGGCTGGAGCCCACTGAGCTACAAAGTTACTTTTAGTCCTGTCTTTAGTTGCTCATCATTAATCAATAGCTGGGCTTGGGGAAAACACTAAACACAAATGTCATCCCCCCCATATTGCTCCAATGGTTTTGAGGGAACAACATATACAAAAGATAAATGCTTCCCCAGTTCTGTTAAGCCGCTTGTAAAGACTCCCCACGTTTATCAGCTTAAAGGCTCTTCACCCCCTCCAGTGTACTGCAGATCCTGAGCCTCAAATCCCACTATTAGTTTTGGCTCTCTAGCTATATTATGATAAATGCCAAATAAACTCAGTAAAGTGCTATTAAATGTGTGATATGCAAGCTGTTTCCTGGTTTGGACCTCTGTTAGAGCATGCAGATGATATTTTAGTCTACAGTGTTCCTGCAACTGTGTCAACATTTTGGGCAATGCCCTTTCCTGTTTCAACATGACAATGGCCCAAGTCCAAGCATGCTCCATAAAGAAAGGTTTTTCACAAACAGTGTCCAGAGACCTTTGTGATGAACTGAGCGCTGACAGAAGCTGGTATTTAGCGTGTCTGTGGAATAATCAAATCTGAATCAACAGGGTGACTTCTGCACATTCCATCACAGACACAAGGCTCGTGCCTCAGCAGCAGCTCATTAACAGGCTTAGCCCCGTTATGATGATGATTGGGGGGGGGGCTGAGAGGAGGGCAAATCCAGCGTTGAGTGTCACGCAGCGTGTCTCTCCAGGTCCCCCATCTATTGTTTCAGATGGAGGGCACTTCTCTGTGCTAATAACCTGACGATCATGATAAAAACCCGCTTGGTCCATTTTTATTTTTGACTGGAGATCCTGGTGACTAGTCGTAGGCATATCTAAAGTAAGTGGATATTTTGAAGTTATATTTAGCTCTCAGTTTTAATATTTCCAACCACATTAATCCTGTTGACTAGGCCTGCACCTTTAGATTGTTTACATTATCTATTATTCTAACAATTTAATAAAAAATATTGAAAAATGTCCAAATCAGTTTCTCAAAGCCCAAAGTGGTGTTGTACTTTTTTCAGTCCAAAATACAAATATATTCACCTATGTATGATAGTAAAAAAAGAGAATCAGGAAATCTCTATAGTTGTTTGGCTAAGAAACTGGGGCAAAATATATTAACAGATTATTTTCTGTCGATTGACAGCTCTAGTTATTACAATACAAATATCGATTTGAAAGGTGTAGTGTTTATTGTTCAGTAAATGGAACTCATGTTCACATAGAGTATAATAGAAGTAGTCGAATATAATGTTAAAATATATTCTGTTATAATATATTCCACATGAATATCTTGAGGCTTGGGGATTAATTGATTGTGCTTCATCTGCTTCATCATGCACTTCTATACAGTGGAAAATAACTCTCCAATAGTAATATTCTTAAACTCTCAACACAGACATGCCCATAAGTTTTAAGCTCGTAGGAACCTGTCTCTCTACATTTGTAAGTGCTAAATGTAAAATATCTGGGTTAAAGGTGGGGTAGGTAATTCACTTCAGAAACACTTTTTGTTATATTCCATGGAATGCTCTTAACTTCCCGATAGCAATGAATATATTAAGTGCTTTGACAATAAATCCATACAAACATGTCATCTGTGGAAGCTGTGGAGCTATAACAAGCACGACCAATCATCTGAGCGTTCGTGTGTGTTGGAGGAGGGGCTCTGTAAGGAAGTCTGAAGGAAGGGGCAGATTTTTTCCGGCTGCGAACTTTCGAATTGTAGCGCACTCGAGCTGGTTTCTCCATTCTTACCTACCCTACCTTTAACTTATCATTGAAACCAATGAGAGAGTCAGAGTCTGAAAACATTTATTTGGGGGACCTTTAAATGCTAAATGTGGGTTAAAGAAGAGCCTGAAGAGAGACACTAACTGGTCACTAAACAGCCACCATATGGCAGATCTAAGTCACTCATTCCCATGGAGGATCAGTCAGCTCCACCCCCCACACACCCTGGCTGGTTTAACCCATCTGGCTTCACTGTTGCTCAGCTCTATTAAGTTCAATTTTCTCTGATTTAATGTGGAGTTTATAAACTTTCCATCTATCATTTTATAGTCCCATTACAGGCAATTATCTGGAGAGAATTCTGATTAAACTCCCTGTCTGTCCTGTTTTTGCCAGAGATGTGGGGATAATTGTGGTGCACTCTAACACTCTGCATCCATTCTGCTGCACAGCGAGGACACAGCAATAATAATATCTGTACTGTTTGATGAGGAGGAAGCTAAGTTACTTAAAAAGGACGGGAAAGGTGCAGAAAACCCCGCAGCTAATGTGTGATATTTAAAAACAAATCTCTTTCATCAACTACCAGCCAAGCAGTGAGAACACCTTATTATACAAAACATAATATAGAGTGCACTTTAAACTAAAAAACATTCCTAATATAGCATCAGTTAAAAGTGGAAGCCAAGTATTAAAAGTCCAAATGTGGAGCATTACTATTGATGGGCCAAGCTTGCTTTCTGCCATCTGTCACTGGTAAAATACAGCCATGATCCAAGCGGCAATATTGATAACTTTTCAAACCCATCAATACAAAATCACACCTGTTTTACCCAATGAATGGCCAGATTTTTGAAGAACAGAAAGTAGTGTGTAGGGACTTGGCTTGGGAACCTTGGCTCACTGGTTAAAGACCTGATCGGACCAAATACAGACTTAAGAGGTGCTAGTTTACCTCCGTGGCAGTTCCCAATAACAAGGCACCAAACCCCAAACTGGCAGCCACTTCACACTGACACCTCTCCGCTAATGATGGTGTATAGGTCCTGGTTGTGTTCATGTGTGTATTTCCTATGTGTGTAATGTAACATACTAACTGTCATGTGATATGCAGCCAGAAGCAGGATTTGACCACCGTCAATCAACTAACTGACCCCACCATAGATCAGCCAATGTGTTCCTCTCACTCAAACTGCTTATGTTCACATTGTACTTCTACCAGTCAGTCACATTGCACAGTGCTGCTTCATGTAGATCAGCATTAAGGAGACACTAAGCTGTACATTTCAGCCACAACACTGCGCTCTGTAGCGGAATGAGATTGATGGATTAATAATATCACTCTGTCGGCTCGCAGCTTTTCTGTTTAAATCTGTAGCCTCAGTGAATAAACAGCTGTGCTCTGCTCCTGTTCTCAGAGGAGAAACCAATAACATAAACACGAGACTAGACATGGAAAGCTGTTCCTACCTGGCCTCTATGTTGTCGAACAGATGCTGCCAGCGGTCGTTGATGTCCTTCAGCTTGTCGTTGACTTCTGTCTCTTTCGTCTTGTTGCTGGCTGTAATGAGTTGTTCTCCGAGCTGCTTCAAATGAGTCTTATTGTCACTGAACAGGTTGATCTCTTCCATGCAGTCCTAATGGAGAAACACAGGAGAAAAAGAACGAAATAAGTACTTATAGATCTACAATTCAAACCACAGTAATTACGAGTACTACATTTAATAACTTCTCTGCAGGATTTAAGGAATTGATTTATTCTAATTGCTAGAAGTCTGACTTTAAGGACAGCGTTAGAACTTCATACTGGCTAAGGTAAGGATACAAAGAAGATTTTAAAGAAATCATAAAAAAGAAAAAGGTTCATGTTCTTTGAAAAATGTGTTTACTTAGAAAACCTACTTTTCATTAATAATTTTGAGTCAACTTACTATATTTTCAACCAGAAATGTAGTGCATCCTGAAAGCCTAGAACGTGGGTAAGCTCTACTCCTGAAAGAGACCTTAAACTTGAATTGAACTTGATTTACTCGTTGCTAGAAAAAACGACTTTTTGGAAGTTTGCCAGGAAGTAACAACTCCTGCTGGGATCTTGCGTGGATAAGACACTAAATGTAAAGCTCCTGTCCTGAAAAGGTTTGAACCCCCTGGCAGGGCAATAAGTTTGAGTTTCTATAACAGCAGTTGCCTCAACTTCCCTCCACACCCCCCCCTCGTCCCCTCCCCACACCGTGACAAATGAAAGGGGCCGTGAGCTGGACACAAAACAAACCCGCGTGGCCCTGCTGGGGCTCAAACAGCTGGCGTCTCTTTAACGATCAGGAGGGAATACACAGCTTTTGGAAAAGCCCAGACCCTGCCCCGCCCAGTGAGCAGGCGTGACACAGCGAAATAAAACAAAACCAAACTGGTGTATTGCCGACAACTTGTTACAATTAAAGAGCGATATGACGCTCTCTAGAATCCCATCACCCACAAAATGGTTAACATTTGTTGAGAACTTGACAGAAAGTATTACTTATATGTAATAAACAAGGTCAAATTTTGCACGGATATACAAACATATAAATCTGGCTAGCTTCATCCAAATACGCATCGAGCTATGCCGATACGTGTCTGATTTTTGTAATTGTAAGGACAAAACAAATAACTTTTTTGTCAGCCCTTGTGAACTTTCTAGCAACTTCTATTTTACATTTGGACAGGTTTTAAAGTCATCGTAATGACAAAAACCACAGATAGTTTGGACCCAAAAGTTATTTTCTTAAATATTCACTCCAAAAGTCAGATTGAAGGTACATCTCTTTCTTGTTTGGACCAATCCATTCACACAATAAACTTGAATCATCAGCTTCCATGGATGATGAATTTACAGCCATCAAAACAAGTGACAGTAATCCCATCTTCAGTCCACTGTAACTAGTGGTTATCTGTTGTATCACATAAACACTGTTGAATGGGATTGTGTCTACGCTTCAAGCTTCCTACCTTCTTGAGTTTCTCCACCATCTCCTCGATGTTGAGGTCGGAGTTGTGCGCCACCTTGTTCTCCATCTGCGCCAGCCACTCACACAGCTCCTTGTTCTTCTCTTTGAAGATGATCCAAGCATTCAGGCGGTCTTCGATCTCCTGTTTACGCTTTGAAACCTGACACAAAAAGGATGTTGAGAAAGAACATGAATAAGATGCTAGTTGCACTGTAGATGGATCTTTAACATCCTTACTACTAATGAGCCAGAGGCATGTGGTCCAATCATATCAACTTGATTTGTCTTGTGAGCAGAGTTGGGAGGGGTGACGAAGTTGGATGCATGTTAGAAAATGTTTTACTGTTCCAAATGGTCAAAGGTTAAGGTGACTGCGAATGCCTGCCATCATAGAGAGGGGACATGTGATCGTCTTTTAAATATGGAGATAATTCTTCACCATTTTAGGTAGGACTCGGAGGCCCATTGTCCACGACGATATGATGGTGCGCAAAGTAAAAGGCTTCTTAGATGAGGACTAAACTGAAAACTCTAGCTTCACTTTATTTTGTTTAACCTCCCATGTCCTATCTGGAGCAGCACACATCCACTTTTGTTAGAGGGGCAGGTTGGTTTACAGGTCTACAAGTTAAAATAACCACAAAAAAACAACACAAAGAGTTTAAAAGTGATAGTGAGTATCATCACTCCCCCTCCCCCAGACTCATTTCCATACAAAAGCCCATTACAACATTTCTCTCCTGTCACCCTCTGTTCCCCCCTCACCCCCCCACACCACAGACCTGTTGGTCACTTCAGTCCTACACAACATTTACTAACTTAACTCCTCATTAAAGGCTCTGGCTCCTAACACTAATGACCTGGAAACAGACAAAGAAAGAGTGAATTCTGGTTCAAATGCAGCATGCTCTCTAACGTCTGCAGGAGTGAGGACTGTCTCGAACAAGTCAGATGACCAACTTTGATTTAATAAAAGACAATTAAGTGTCTCATTGAGCTGCACTTACTTTTGACTCACGTTG